CTGTCTCGAATCGAAATACACACAAAGGAAACTAAGGACATCGATTCACAAATTAAGGAAGTCTTTGATGATTTAGTAGACATGGAAGACGATGGATGGTCAACGACTAATAATCCAGATGCAGATCGAATAATCGACGAGATTGTAGAAGAAAAAGCAACAGAATTAATTCCAGAAAACATCATAGAAGATACTGTTGAAAACGAAAATCAAAACATCCCAGACGACACTGTTGAAAACGAAGATCAAAATATATACGAAGACGGAAATGAAACAATACATACAGCAGTAGAAAACCCAGTTCTTGGTATACCTATTTCGGAAAAACCACTTAACTTCTATAATAACCAAATTATAGTCAAAATTGTCAACTACAATCCACGACCTCCAGCAATCATACAAACCTTTCCGAATAAAAGACGTTATCATATCCAGCTATCGAAAGATCAGTTAAAAGCTGATACCATAAAAATTTTTAAGGAACACCTCAACCCGAAAAAGAAATATGCAATTTTATTTGAAACAGAAGAAGAAATTTTTGCAGAGATTTGCGAAATTATTAGGAAAACTTTTAAAAACAACGCTTACGACTTAGTAAAATGTAATCTTTTATTGGAAGATGTTAACCTAGAAGAACAGCAAAAAGAAATTATAAAAAAACTATCATGAAGGAACAACGAACCATAGAGGAATAGCTGAAACAGAAAGTCAAATAAGAAAACGATATTACTGGCCTAATATGAAGAAGGACATAGAAGATATCATAAACTTTTGCGATATATGTCAAGAAAATAAATACGACAGACTTCCTCCCAAACCGAAATTTATGGTTACACCAACTCCCACTAAACCACTGGAAATAGTTCACATCGATTTATTCCAGGCTGATGGACAGAAATTTTTAACCATAATAGACGCATTTTCAAAGTATGGACAAGCCTACCCAATAAATGGAGGAAATGCAATCAATGTACTCAACGCCCTATTAATTTTTATAACACATCATGGACTCCCAACAATGATAGTAGCTGATAATGGTACTGAATTTAAAAATGGAGTAATACAAGAATTTGTAGACTCTCACAAAATCTCAATCCACTATACGACACCAGAGAATCCGCAATCAAATGGGATGATTGAGAGATTTCATTCTACACTAATCGAACATCTTCGAATCTTAAGGAAGACCAAAGCAAAACTCTCGATAAAAGAACAAATACTATACGCTATTATTGGGTACAATAATTCCATACATTCAGCAACGAAGTTAAGACCCATTGACATATTAAACGGACATATCGACGCAAAAGATCCCTTTGACGTTGACATACAAAAAGTAATACTGAACGATTATATTCAAAATCATAGAGAGATAACAAAGGAATTATACAAGGAAGTAAACCAACATATACAAGAGAATAAAAATAAAGTCATAGAAAATAGAAACAAAACAAGACAAGACCCTATTACGTATAAACCCAGCACAAAAATCTATACACGAAAAACAGTTACCAGAAATAAATTACTTCCGCGATATTCCGCAAAACATATAAAAAGGAATAACAAAGTGACTGTAAATACATCAAAAGCTACAGTTCACAAGAAAAACATAAAACACCAACCTAAGTCAAAAACTAATTCTGAACCTTCCCCACAGGATCACCTTGACGATGGCAGAAGAAATGAAGATCAAGGACCTGAAAGACAATCCAGAAATAATTCCCCTCAACCTGGGACAAGCAGAGATTTATACTAGTGCGCACGATTTTATACATTTTTAGACTACTACCAATAAAGGAAGAATTGGACATAATTGAAACCCAGTACGATGCAGTAACCACAGCAATTCAAAATGGACTTAGCCATCCGTATTTTAGCAGTTTACAAAATTTCGACCAAGCTCTTATATACCAATTAAAATCAGCTCAAGAAAAATTCTCAACAAGTTACCACTATGGCAGACCAAGAAGAGGGCTAATCAATGGACTAGAAAGCAGTATTTATCCTTCATTTTTCTGTCCTACATGACAATTTCTTTATTTATTATCATTAATTTCCTATACCTACGGCAAATTCTACTACAATTATTTCTCCTGAGCTATATCTCATCAATCTTCCGCCCAGATGCGAATTCAAAACCCCAATCCAGAGTCACATAAATTCAAGGACAATTAACCCGAAATTATGGAACCATAGCCATAACCGTTTTTGGATGACTCCTTTATATATCTTTATTACAATAATCTGCCTCTAAATATGTTACAGGTATAAAACAAATAACAAAAACCCAACTCCAGCCACGAAGCTCCAGAAGAGGCCAACCCAACAGTTCTGTTCGTCCCTCACAAAACTTCTTCAGGGGATGGAGTAGTTACAGTACAATGACCGCTACCATCCAGTAAATTCTACCACGTGGATTCCACACGGGACTACCGCTCGATCATTCTGGACTGAATTGCGACGTATTGGACTGCAAGATCAGCAATTATTAAATTATAAAAACACTATGTAAAAATCGATATTTTCAGTCTGATTTGTAGTTTAGTTTGATTTATAATTTAGTCTGATTTAATTTATTGTTGTTGCTACTAAAATCTTTGTAAGTCGAAAATAAAAGTTTTATTTGTGAAGTTCAGTTTTTAAAAAAGTGTTTTTCCCAAGAACATTCATAATTAGCGCATTACGCAAAACTTTTTATTTAAAAAGTACTTGACAAGACGAGGGTATTTGTTTAAAAACGAGCCCTCTATCACTTATGGTTACACGGCAAATATATGCCAACTTTGACCTTCAATATCTCGGCAACCAGTAAGCTGAATGTATCTTTTTTTTTAAAGAAGCGTCTTTTAATGTTCTTTAAGTGTATCAATTTTGAAATTGCTATGTTTAAAGCTCGTTAAGTTATTCAATTTGGTTATAAGCCTAAAAAATGTTTAAAACTTTTAAAAAAATTTTAGGCTCTCCTAGTAAACCGATTTGAATTTTACAAAAAGTGTTTGAAAGTTTGACCCTTCCTTTATATGTAAAAAAATTGCAACCATCTGGGGGCCTTATTTAGGGCCTACTTTAAATTTGAAAATTTACAATTTTTTCCAGTAGGCTGGATTGCAAAATTATTATGCAAACCTATCTGACCGATCTTAACAAAATGTAGCACACTTTTTAAACATTAAAAAGTTTTTCTAGGCGGAATATGGAGCTTGTAAGTCAAGTTTGGAAAGTCGAAAACATTTAAAGGATTAACTTCATTTTTTTGTACTTTCTAACGAAATATTATGCAAAATTAAATAACGAAACTTTAACTTGTTATAATTTTTTCTCTAGGATCAATATTTTCCGAATTATAAACCAAAATAGGAGCAAAAAATGAGAAATTAATAATACTATAAGATGCATGTTTGCATTTTCTTTTCTGCTCAATTAAAATGAGTTAAGCCTAGCCTAACATATTGACAATATTTTATATAATTAAGAAATTTTCTGAAACTTTATTAAAATATGTGAAGGAGATAAAATGCAAACAAGATTAAGTCATAAATAAGTAATTTTTCAGGGAGGAGGAAGAACTTTTAGCTTTGCTCTGAAAAAGGATAATGAGTTCTAATCAATGTTATGCAACAGTATTGGTTCCAAACATACGATTAAAATACTCATTTCAGTTAGGGTAGCTAAACAACAGTTTAAAAAATTGATTTTTTGGCAATAAGACCTTTTGCTTAGTGGAAATGTTCAGTCGTTTTGCATGTAAAATGTTGTGCATATAAGCTGATTTACATGTAAAAACAGTAATAAAGCAACAAAGTAAAGAAACAATCACACATTTCTTCCTGATCCTCACCAGCAACTGCTGTAGTGGGTCCATCACAAATCAAACTCTTGTACTATCCAAGGTATGGACCACCCTTTTCCCTTTTTTCGGAGGTGTTCAATTTTTGTGTCAGGTACCGTATTTTAATTCTCTTCAATTCACTAATTAATTGGATGTCCTTATAGTATTCACTTAGTTTCTTAGTATCAAGTAGTGGCAAATTTAGCACTGTAGATGTCATGGTATTCCTGTTTAATTAATATTATGGGTATTTTTCACAACTGCTTTTCTACTTTTCCAAAAACACGGACTGCGGGTAAAAAACTATGTTCGCATACAGGGAAATACAATAAAATCTTCTGGATTGATGATTTGTGTGTTTTCAAAAAATTAATCAGTGTTCTCAGGACAATATTATTTTTATTTTGAGAAACACAACTATCGCTAAACAACCGTAGTACAGAACAGTCCTAAAAATCAGCTTCTGTCAAATAGTTAAAGAGAGCCGATACTATTTCCACACTGTATTTTCCTGCCTGCTCGTCTGTCCAAGTATAGAACATGGGGTTTTGAGTTTTTAGTTTAGTAATACAAAAATTATAAGACCCAATTTATCTCGCGTAATAAGCTTTTTGAATTGGACTTCTCGGTAGTGGCTAAATTTGTTGAAGATCAAAGCAAAGGCTAACAGAATAAGGAACATCCATTTTCATGTACTCATATAACGCCATATAAAAGAAACCCTAGAACACTTCTTCTTTAAATAATAACGTAATTACTAATTGGTTCTAAATACGTTGACAATCTAAACAGTAGTTATAAAAAGGTTTAAATACAAAACACTACATAAACTGAAATTTGCAAGACTCACTGGGTCAGCTGAGTGGCAATTACAGCGCTTCTCTTGGTTGGTTGGAAATAAGCTGGTTTACATGGACCAGTACAGTGAAAATAAGTTGTTTTGTATGTAAAGATGATTTTTAACATGCTGTTACCATTGGGAATAATTTTTTTTTTGCGTCAATCAGATAGAATAAATCAATTTAGCTACAACAGAACAATGCATTGGTACATCTAACTCAATTTTGATGTTTGTGTGACTTAAGGCTGTTTGCATATTACCTCCTCATGTAAGGGTTTAAAATATTTGTTTGTAAAAAGAAATTTATTTAATTTTTAATTTTAATTATAGGTTAATTCGTTTGCAAAGAAAAATTTATATAGCAGCCACTGTACTGATTCCTTTCGTGACTAACACGTATTTTCTTTTAAACGATAAATTTATAAATATGCAAAAAAATTTAAAAGAAGAGGATAATGCATTTTTATTTAACTACCTACCTTGGACTGAGGAAGAAATGTACAAATACATCACCGTGGGGAAAACTGGCATGGAATTATATCTGTTAAAAGTCAAAACTGGTGTTATTGGAGCAAAAGCTAAAAGACTACTAATGAAGTAAGTTAATATTTTTACCTATACATGATTGAATATTGGCCATGATCCAAGCTGCATATTATACCCTCTTGAACTTACCGTTATGAATATTAGAAAAGTGTGAGAAAGTTTATACAGTGGTGAGTGCCATATCACCCGGCTTTTTAACGTAAGAGATAGAAAACACAGTAACCTTGTGAAATAAAAGGAGTTGAAACTCGTAGAGGTGGGAAATAATCGATAGAAACCTATAATTTACATTACATTACATTACGACTATCGATAGTCTCACACCTTTAGACGTTACCTTCGATCTAAATCACCTTGGTCATAATTATTATGTTTGACAGTTTGACGTCGTATGTGTGACGTATTTCCAGTTTTTAATTTAGATAAAGTAAAAACTGATTGACCACCATAAAGCAAAAATGTAAATAAAATAATTGAATTAATAGTGATTACTTATTCTAAAGTTTTAAATTATTAACCAAGAATAATTTCTACTATGATTTGAGGAGTTTCATACACTCTTGTCACAGAATAATTAGCAATCCTTCGTGTATTAGTGGTAAGAATTCGACTCTGCGACGCAGATGATTAGAGTTCAAAACATACATGAGGTTTTTTTTTTTAACAATTTGAAATTATGCAGAGATCGTTTTGCTTTGAATCACTAAACATTTATGTCAGTCGTTACTAGTATTTGAAGTGTTTAAAGTTAAACATAAATATCTTATTGAAAAAATAGTGTCGTCGTACTTTCGAAAATAAAGTAAAAATTCTTCAAAATTAAAAGAATGTTTAAATAAGTAAAAATTTTACAAAAATAAAAAAATATTGTAAATAAACGTATCTACAATATGTTCAAATAAGCCTTCATTAGCAGCAGAATAATAACCCAAACTGTCACTAAAGAGTTATAAAAGTCTGATAGATCAGGGCTCAAGGAACGATGTACTCATGCAGGCGGTTAGGGTTCAAATCCTACACGAAGTTTTTACTTTTTTAAAAATTTGAAATTATGCAGATATTATATCGTTTTGCTTTAAATCATTAAACATTTATTTTAGTCTTTATTAGAAGTGTTTATAGTAAAACATGAAAATCTTATTGAAAAAACAATGTACTTTCGAAAATAAAGTAAAAATTCTTCAAACATAAAAGAACGTTCTAAATAAATGTACTTACAAAAAATGTTTAAATAAGCAGAAATTCTATAAAAATATTCTAAATAAACGTATTTTATTCTAATGAAATGTATTTACAAAAAATGTTCAAATAAGCCTCCGTTAGCAGCAGAACAATAACCCAATCTATTATAAAAGTTTCGTCTAACATTAGTTAATGTTTCTAGACTAATACCTCTCATTGAATCAGAGATCTTTTCTCTTAATTCTTGGAGAGAATTAGGCCTATCGTCTTCAATTCCAAATAGTTTGGACTTATATATCCCCACATAAAAAAATCACAAGGTGCAAGATCAGGTGATCTTGCAGGCCAAAAAATATCTCCGTGTCCACTAATCAATCGATTAGGAAAAGTCGCACTGAGATATTCACTGACGATGCGAGAATTATGTGCAGGACAAGCATCGTGTTGAAACCATATGGAATCGAAAGGAATTGGTAAATTACGAAGGGCTGGGACAATTTGATTTTGCAGAAGTTCCAAGTATTTCCGCCCAGTCAACATACCGTCTATAAAAAATGGACCAATGACATGATTCCCTATTATGCCTCCCCAAACATTTACTTTTTGAGGACGCTGAGTACGACCGACATAAATCTGACGAGGATTTCCTCAGGACCAATACTCAGCATTCATTGAATTATGACGGCCATGCAATGAAAACGTACATTCATCGGTGAAAAAGACGTTCTCTAAAAAATGTTCATCTTAATGTGACATTTTCATTGCAGTTTGACAAAATTCTAAGCTGTTTTACCCTTCGTATGAACTCTGATGTTAATTCGATTTTCATTTGTTTATGGTCAATTTTCGGCGCTTTGAGTGAAAGTTTCGTTATCTGATTCGTTTGATGATGAGGTTCCACTAGTGATGTAACGAATATTCGCATTCGCATTCGCATTCGCATTCGCATTCGCGAATATTCGCATATTTTTGCATATTCGCATTTGCATTCGCATTCGCAAAATTTGTGCGAATGTTTTGCGAATATTACACAGCTTGCATTTAGCTCGTTCTGTATCGAAAAGTGGTGAAAAATAAGTCCATATTTCACTATAATTTGATTTACTCATAGTAATAAATCGCTAATCACACTTTAACTAAAAATTCACTTGTATTTGTGCACGAGGAGAGCAGGGCAAGTGGAGTGACTTGTGTCCCGTGAAATTTTTATTGGAACTATAACCAGAGAACTTAGTTCTCTGCTATAACTTTTTCTCTATAAAAAGTCAAATTTGATTATAACATGCGAAAATAAGATCGAAAAACGTGCTTTCTACGTTTTTGGCCCGGACGTGACTATAAATAAATACCTTTTTAAACGACCCCTCAGTAAACTTAACCGCCTACAATAAACTTCTTTACAATAAATACAACTGTTTCACATCTTTACTTTAGCAAATATGATAGAATGATACTGGACAATTTAAAGCAGTTAAAAATGACAGACTTTTTCCAATTGCCTACACACCTCGCGCAAATGAGACTGCCGGCAGTGCCGGAGACAATTAAAATTGCCAAATTAAAAAAAAATGAATATTCGCATTCGCATTCGCATTCGCGAATGTCGGTGGCATATATTCGCATTCGCATTCGCATTCGCGAATGTTTTAAAAATGACATTTGTTACATCACTAGGTTCCACTGCTTTCAGGGTTATACTCACTACCAGAGTTTATGTCTCTATCACATCGAGCAATAAGACAAAAGAGGGAATCTAATCCTTATGAAAAGGAGACCAAAAAAGTGGCCTCTGATGGCGGACATATCCGGAAATGCGAATGCGCGAAATTTAAATTTTCCGACACTTATCAACAGTAGCTATATAATATTTTTCAGAATGTGTCTTAGACGAGAAAGTTTTAATTAATTATTAATGATAAGAGTCTAAAATGCGACACAATTGTTAAAAAACTTCAATATAAGTAAGATTTTCATGTGACATTTGGGACAAACAATGACGTATAATATATAGACTCGGTGAACGCTTTAAAAAGTGTCCAAAACATGAATACCTTTGTTATTGTTTATTGTTTTGATACGAAGATGCACGAGGTTCATGATTTCTTACGAAGCATCACGAAGTTGATCTTGTGTTTTGAAAACATCATAGCCGTATGAAAACATTTTCTCCATTTTGTGTGACAAGCAAATTTTATTTTAAATTGTTGAGAGTTATTTACTTACTATTTTAGTACAATGCCATACTATTTTATCAAAATAATTATTTCTCTTATAAACGGGAACAAAAAGAAATCATAAATATTTAATTTTAATTAAAAAAATAATTATTGTCATTAACATATAAATGAGCACGCCGCTGTTCTGATAAACATACCTTCAACCTTGAGCCGAGATCTTTCGGACACTCGATTCTATAGCGAGAATAGGGGACTGCGTAGTCTATATATTATACGTCATTGGGGACAAACAATAACATAACCCAACTAAATTTGATGTCAAACAAGGAGAGGGGACTCTCTTTCCTTGTTTAATGTGGCCTCTAAAGATCGCACTTCCTGCCTAACAATATGTTTGCCCCCACTACCTTTACATTCCCTCTATTGTCTTTTTGCTCGATGCTGTATCATATAGAAAGTCGTCAAATACTGCATGCACGTCATCTAAAACAAAATGCAAACGTTTTATCTATGAGAAGAAACCCTATTCCTTATGAACTAGTTTGCAATATTAGTATAGTTTACTTACCGTTTTCGTCAGACGTAACCCCGCCAGTACCGTTTAGATTAGATGTATTTGACCTTTCTTCTACAATTTCGGTGCTCGTTCCAGGCTGATCATCAGTATCTACAAACGTATTTTTAACACTAATCAAATATAGCAACAGTATCGAGCAACGCAATAGTAGCCTAACTGCATTCATTTTAAAAGCTATTAAAGAAAATGTTGGTTTTAGCAACAACGTCACAATGTTTTGTTTAATTAGAATCTGCAATATTAAACACAAGTTAACTAGTTACTAGACTGTTAATAGAGAAATTTAACTTGCTTTAAAACTTAACACTTAAATGTACACTTGTTACTAGTTTTATTGATTTGATTTAATATTATTTCCTTTTTAGTATTGTTGCATAACCTCAACATTCTGCATTTAACTACAAAACTAATAATATTACCTATCTTTTTGTTGCAAACACGTTTCCGTTTACAGTTTTACTAAGGAACGTAGAAATGATTCTCTGGGCCATTTTGACATCATTTTAAACTATAAAAACTACACACAGCAAGACAAACTCCTATCACTTTCGTGAAATAAAAATGTAACATAACCTCAAATTAAGGTGTCAAGTTGGGTGGCACCTAAATCAAAAGTAAATTTTTTCTCGTGGATGAAGGTGCCATGTTACTTTGTCACCTTTATTCACTACAGAAGGCACCCTAGTATGACACATGACACTTTTTTCTTTTAGAAATATCATTAATTGTTTAAAATACATGCACAAAACCCTTATGGAAGGAAAATACAGTATATTTCTTCTTCTTCTTCTTCAAGTTCCACTCCTATCGGAGATTGGAAATCATTCTGGCAATTATAATTTTATTGGTTACTCGCCTGAATAGTTCAATTGAACTGCATCCAAACCATTCACGGAGATTGCGTAGCCACGAGATTTTACTTCTTCCTACGCTTCTTCTACCTTTGATTTTTACCCTGCATTATATTCCTTAGTAGTTCGTACTTTTCACCTCTCATGATGTGCCCCAAGTATTCCAATTTCCTGATTTTTATGGAATTTAAAACTTCGCATTGTTTTCTTAGTTGTTCGAGAACTTGTTCGTTTGTTTTGCGATCCATCCATGATATTTTCAAAATACGTCGGTAACACCACATTTCGAATGCTTCTAGGTTTTTAATGTTGGATTTTTTAAGTGTCCAAGCCTCAACTCCATACAAAAGGATAGAGAAAATATAACATCGAAGCATTCTTATCCGGAGCGATATATTGATATCGCGATTACAAAAAAGTTACAGTAGATTACAGTACATTTAGGGAACATTTTTGACAAAAAATAATTTTTTCAAAAATTGTTACATGACACCTTTATCCACTTGTGTCTTCAATTATATTATCCTATAATAGTAACATTTTTTTTATTTTTTAGGTATTGGCTGCCAGAAATGATATTTAAAATGATAGTCTACTTTTTATTTTTATGGATTATTATGTACAAATTAAATTTTTTTAATTTAGCCACTGATAAAGTTATTTGTTATTTAAAAAAATTTGGTACAGAAGAAATATAAAATGTAATATAAAAAATAAAAATATGCAAAGATCGACCATTAAGTCTGTGTTTTATATTAAAGCTTCTTGGATACCATTCCGCAATAAACTGCAAAGCTGGATGATTGAATTTTTCCAGGGGGGTAATTGTGATTATTTTGTATTTTTGTTTTGTGCTGTTTGCGTCCAATTTTTGTCGATCCGTTTTATGTCATCAGATCATCTTGTTGGTGGATGACTTCTACTTCGATGTGCTTCTTGTCTCGGTCTCCACTGTATTATTCGCTGTGTCCATCTGTTATCTGACATTCTAGCTATGTGCCCCGCCCAGTTCCAATTAAGGGTCATAATTATTTCTATGGCATCTGTCACTCCTGTGCGCCGTCATGACTCTTTGGGTAACACAAATTTTATTTCTTACTTTCTTGGTTAGTGTTAATGTCTCTGCACCATATGTAAGTACTGGCAACACGCACTGATTAAAGAATTTTCTTTTAAGACACATAGGCAGTTCTGATTTAAGAACATAGCTCAGCTTGCCGAATGCCACCCAAGTGAGTCCTATGCGGCGGCTTAGTTCGCACGTTTGATTATCTCTTCCTGTGCGTATCTCATGTCCTAAGTACTTATAAGAGGTGGTTTCTTCAATATGCATGCCATTTACTGAAATCTTTTCGCTTAACACAAGATTTGTCATGATTTGTGTGGTTGATTTTTAATCCAACTTGTAGGGAGGCTAAGTATAGTTTCTCCAGTTGCGATACTGCATCATCGATTCTGTCAGCAAAAAGGACAATATCGTCAGCAAACCTCAAATAACTAAGCATTTCTCCATTGACATTAATTCCTTTTTCACTCAGATTTGTGTTCTTAAACATATGCTCTAATAATGTTGTAAACAATTTTGGCAAAATTGTGTCTCCCTGTCGCACTCCCCGTTTTATTTTAAATACGTTGGTCTTTTTATCTGCCAGTTTCACGCTTGCTGTCCCATTTTGATAGATGTATTTTATCGTGTTTATATAGCGATGATCTATACGGCACTCTGTTAAGGCTTTTAACATCTTTTGATGACTTATTGTGTCGAAAGCTTTTTCGTCATCAACAAATATCATGACTAATGGCTTGTTACTGTTACTTGTAAATGATCATTCGTGCCATATCCTGCTCTAAAACCTGCTTGCTTTCTTGGCTGATAGAAATCCAACTCACTTCCTAGCCTGTTGGTAATAACTCTTGTAAATAGCTTATATACTTGTGACAACAAGCTAATGGGGCGGTATTTTCTGAGGTCGCTGATATCTCCCTTCTTATGAAGTAAGATGATTTCCGCGTTGTTCCACTGCGTTGGTGTTATCGCTTCGCACAGACATTTATTGAACAGTTTAGCAAGTGTCAGTAAGAGCTTATTTCCTCCTAGTTTTAGGCTTTCGGTCATTACCCTGTCTTCACCTGGGGATTTATTGTTTTTCATCACCCGAAGTGCATTTTTAATTTCGTCAACAGTTATGTTCGGCATTAATTCTGAGCCTTGATTCTCTATCTTTGGTAAGAGGCGTCTTTCATCGGATTCACTTGTTTCATAAAGTTGTCTGTAGAAGTCTTCCACTGTTTTCACTATTTCTTCCTTATCACTCACAATGTCGTCTTGTTTATTTCTTAACTTATGTATGTTCTTTTTTTCCTGTGGACATGTTGTGTCTTAGAACTTTCAGACTTCTATTTTTCTCTATCACCCTTGTCACCTCTCTCATGTTATGTTGCCGTATGTCTTTTCGGATTTCTTTAATTGTTTTACTGAATTTACTAAATTCTGCGTAGTTTGTGTTATACCTGTCCTTTAGCCTCCTTCTTTCTTCGATCAGATTTTTAGTGTTGATACTTATTTTCTCATATTTTTCTTCATTTTAGGACAGCACAACTTCTCCGCTTCTTTAAGGGCTTTTACGATACTTTCGTTTAAAACTTCGACCTGTGTTTCGTCGTTGATTTGGTGAAGGTTATGGTCAATGATGTCATGAAAGTGGTCTGTATTTTCGGGTGGGGTCCATTTACGATTGTCTGATTTTATCATTCTTGTTCGTTCATTCTTTAAATTGAACAGAATTTTTGCTCGAATCAAACTGTGATCGCTTCCAATTGTAAATCTGTTTAAAACAGATACATCTTGTACAATTTCTTTTTTATCAGCAATGATAAAATCTATTTCGTTTTTTGTGAAACCGTTTGGACTTTTCCACGTCCACTTTCGTTGGGGCTTTTTTTGAAAGAATGAGTTCATAGAAAAAAGATTTTCTTGGTGTAAAAAATCTACAAGCATGGTCCCTCTTTCATTTCTTTCTCCATAGCCGTAGTTTCCTAGTGCGGTTTCACTTTTGTCTTCTTTATTTCCCAGCTTAACATTAAAATCTCCTGTTATCAGAGTATAAAACGTCTTAGTAATTTTCAGGGCTGTTCTAATATCTTCAAAGAACATTTTAGTCTCTTCATCTGTGTGGCTTGTCGTTGGTGAATACACTTGTATCAATTTTAATTTATATCTCGAATTCAACTTTAAGATTAGAGTGATAACTCTCGAGCTTACACTTTCTATTTTTAATATGTTCGGTACATGTCGTTTGTGTACGATAAATCCAACCCCACCATTTGATTAATTGTCTTCTCCCTTGAAATGGAATAAGTGGCCAGATTTAAGAGTTTATTGTTCTTCTCCTCTTTCCAAAAACTTTCCAATTTGGCCATTTTAACACCATGTGACTGACAACAGCTAGTAAGGCACATCAGGTAAATACACAGTGCACCATATGGAACTTGTAGATTTCAAAACCTTCAAAGCGTTGTTCGATAAGAAACTGTTACCTAATCCTCCTTTTGTAAATAGAAAAAAGAATGTTAACACAGAGCCTGTTTTACTGTCAACATGTGGTTTTCTACAAAAAGACATTGGAAAGCTTTTTTATAAGACCGATTTCAATAATCAAAATTTGTATGAGGTGGACTTGAGGTATCGAGGACAGCAAGTAACGTTTCTAGCCCAATTAAATCAAGTCTCAGTAATCCCATTACCAATCACAAAACAGAAGCACAATGACGTAATTGCACTATTACCTTTTGTTCCGTCGGCTTTTATGGGTTTTGATGAGTTTTATCAAAATTTAACATATAGCAATGTAGTCACAAAACGATTAGATTAGCCCAAGAAGATGATATGGAGTCTATTTAACAATTTTGAGACTTTGTCTCAAAGTCGTCTATAATTTTACTCAATTATTATAACATTATAATATTTGTCTCTAATAAAATAATATTATAGGCTGTTTAATGTGTTTGTCTTGTTTATTTCGTAGAGACCTTTACATGTAACGTCACATTATTTAAAAAAGAAGTAAACAACACAATGGGTGGAATGCATAAAACGTAGTATCTGATAATGCTTCAAGTAATTCTACATTTTGCATACAAAGCATTTTGCTTTTCTCCGTAGTATTTGTTATAGAGATATTTTTAAGACTACTAAAATGGAGATATTTTTAAGAAGTTTAGGTTAGTTTTGGAAATAGGTAAACTTTGAAAAATATACATAATACCTTTTTAAGATATCCTGGATATCAGCAGGGAGTTGCTGTTGATCTAAATGTTAAACAAGGTACTGTATCCAGAACCTTGATCAGTGTTTCAGAAACAATTTACTTAAAAAGAAATAACCGGATAACATTTCCTAATACTAACGAGTAATATATAATAATATAATATAAATATAATAATATATAGTAATATAAATACTTAGGAACATGGATAACATCAGATGTACACCAAACCAAAGAAATTAAGACACGTATTGAAATAGCACGTACATTATTTATTAGGTTTAAAAAGTTTCTTTGTTGTCGAGATATAAGGTTAGAACTACGCCTGAGAATGCTTCGATGTTACGTGTTCTCTACTCTTCTTTATGGTTTGGAAGCTTGGACACTAAAACAAGTTCATCTGAATAAGTTGGCCGCCTTTGAATTTTGGTGTTACAGAAGAATCCTACGAATATCATGGATTCAAAGAATGTCAAACATGGAAGTAACTAGAAGGATAGGAAATGAGGCGGAAATAATATTAACTATTAAAAGACGAAAACTTGAGTACTTGGGACATGTGATGAGAGGGCAAAAATACGCATTATTACAACTTGTTATGCAGGGCAAAATCCGAGGAAAGCGAAATGTGGGAAGACGAAGAATATCCTGGCTTAACAACTTCAGGGAATGGTTTGAATGCAGTAGTGCAGAACTTTTTAGAGCGGCAGTCAACAGAGTCCGCATAGCCATGATAATTTCCAACCTTCGATAGAAGATGGAACTTAAAGAAGAAGAACGAGTTATTTGAAGTTGCTATCAATCAGTGGGCAAATATCTATAAGCAAATGCCCAATATTATAGGTGCTATTGATTGTACTCACGTTAAAATAACAAAGCCACGTATCCATGGTAAAGAATACGTGAATAGAAAAGGAGTATATTCCATAAATATACAAGCTACTTGTAACGCCCAAGAAATGTTTACCAGTGTCGATGTGAGTTGGTCAGGCTCCGTGCACGATAGTCGACTTTGGCGAAACTCCGTAGTACATCGAATTATGTATAATAATGTGCAAGGAGCAGCCTTGATAGGTGATGAAGGATATAGTATTGCACCGTGGTTGTTGACACCTTTTAAAAAATCCAACCACACCTATTCAACAAAATTATAATACAATTCATGCGAAGGAACGTTGTGTCATCGAGCGCTATTTTGGTCAGTTAAAAAAGGCGTTTTTCAAGGTTAGAGGATACTTTTTGCCTAAAAGCTAACAACATTCCAAAACATATTGTAAGTGCATTTGTATTTCACAACATATCTAAACATCTGCAGGATCCGTATCATGATTTTGATCCAGTTCAAATTGTAGTGCAAGATGCAGATGAAGAGATGCAAATGAAGAGATGAAGAGATCAAGCACAAATTCGAAATCGAGGCACACAAAGTAGAAATGAGGTTGCAGAAGTTCTATTTCGTAATGCTAACAACCAACA